TTCCTGAGCTCTTGTGTAAACGGGCAACGTTGGGCGCGTTTCTCTCTCCAGTGGGTCCTGGGAACTATCCAGGGTGCAGGGCTGCACGCAGACCTGGAAATTGGGCGGGGAAGTGGGAAGAAGAGGTTTAGGGGACGGCCCCAGAGGATCCCCAGGTTTGAGGTCCCTGTTGCTGCTCCGTGTGGCCCCGTGAGCCCGTTTTCCCTTATGGAGCAGGAGCAGGGCTGCTGGCAACGTGTGTGCCATGTGTCTGGCTTGAGTCAGGGCTGAGGAGGAAGCCCGAAAGCTGCTGCCGTTTTGCATGAACCCCCCCGTGTCCCGACCACATCCCAAACCGCTGCCTGCGGTCGACGGCTGGACATGGTGCCAGTTGGGAAGCAGAGAGCTGTGCAGCGGGACAAACTCCCAGGCCCTGTCCCTCCCTACGGCAGCAGCGACTCAGATTAGAGCTGGGAAATGAGATGTTTGGTACCCAGATGGAGCCCGGGGGTGCCCCTTGGCGAGCAGGGTATGGGGCCGGGATGGAAAGGGCCGCAAGGGCCCTTTGCTCGGGCAGCCGACGGCCCCAGGTTGTGTGTTCGCCCCCTCATCTCGCTGAGCCAGGCTCGAATCTCCCCACATGGCTCCGGCCTTTGATCTGCCAGGCCGAGCCGGCTCACGCACTTCCTTGCATTTGTTTTTCCACCCTGTTCTGCCACCCGCTTTTCCTTTCTTTTTTTTCCATCATCTGTCTCCACCCGCAGTTGGGTAAATGGGTAAAATGCCCAGAAAGATGCCTGTTCCCTCCTGAGAGCATCTGACCCTGCAAATAATAGGGGAAGATCCTCCCCAGGGAGGAAAGCAGCTGCCGCAGGGAAGGGTGGCCCTGGCTGGAGAGGTGGGTTTGGAGCAGCCTTCCTTGCTCTCCTCCTCCTCATCCTCCTGTTAGCCAGTGACTCAGCAGCTCGGATTGAAGCGACTTTGCCCCACCAGCTCCCAGCCCGGCTGCTGGCATTTCCCACCACACAGGCTGTGCACAGCTGGGAACGGCGGGTCCTCACGGGGAAAGATGTTGTTGATTAGCGCAGGCGCCGGCGGTGCTGCCCATGCCCTGTGTGTGCACGTGCAGGCTGCAGCACCGCTGCCGGGGTGTCCTGGGCAAAAACAAGCATCAGACAAAAAGAGGGGGAAGCTGCAACCCCAGCATCATCACGAGGTGTTTGGCCTCGTGGTTGCTGCTTGAGGCCGGGCTCCTGCAGCCGCTGCGCTCTCCCCCTCGCCGGGCACTGCCGCTGCCTGCACCACACGGAAGGGCCCTCCTGCGAGCGCTGCAGCGCCGGCTTCTACGGCAACCCCTTCGCGGGGCGGGAGGACGACTGCCAGCCGTGCCCGTGCCCCGGGGGCTCGCCCTGCGCGCAGGTCCCCGGCAGCGGCGACGTGGTGTGCACGGGCTGCCCGCCCGGCCAGAGAGGTGAGCGCGGGGATGCACGGGAAAGGCACGGACGGATGGACGGGCAGGGGATGGGGATGCCGGAGCCCTGCCCGCGTTTCTGCCCTCCCTAGGAAGACGCTGCGAGCTGTGCGACGATGGCTTTTTTGGGGACCCGCTGGGGCAGCGGGGCCCTGTGCGGCCCTGCAGCCCCTGCCAGTGTCACGGGAACGTGGATGCCAACGCCGTGGGCAACTGCGACCCCGTGTCCGGCCGGTGCCTGCGGTGCCTGTACAACACCACCGGCGAGCACTGCGAGCGGTGCCAGCGGGGCTTCTACGGGGCCGCGCTGGCCGCGGCCGCGGGGAAGTGCCTGTGTACGTGTGGCTCCGGGATCTGTCCCGGCGCCCCTCGGCTCCCCGTAGCGTTCCAGGGAGCTGGATGGCAGCGGGTGATGCCCAATTGGTTTAGGGGCTGAGCAGGGGGTGCAGCGCCTGTCCATGTGGGGCATGGTGGTTCTGGGTGCCCTGGGGATGGTCTATGTTCCTCTCTTCCTGCTGTCACCATCCTTCCCTGTACGCGGCCCATCCGTGGTGCTCAGCTTCTTGAGCCTCATCCCAGCTCCAATGTCCCTGTCCCGCTGTCCCAGCCCTGCGATGGGACCTGACGGCTGCTTGGTCTCCCACAGCGTGTGACTGCAACCCCCAGGGCTCTGTCCCAGGCCAGGAGGGCTGTGATGCTGTCACAGGACAGTGTCCCTGCCTGCCCCATGTGGCCGGGAGAGACTGCGGCCACTGCCAGCCGGGCTACCACGGACTGCAGCCTGCTGTGGGGTGCAAGAGGTACAGGGGGGACAAGGCATCCTCCACACCGGCGGGGTCTGCATCCCGGCTGGGGTCTTTGCTTTTG